TTTTTTTTTTGTTATTTGTCAACTTTCTCTCGGATGCTCGTACGCACACGTTTGAGACAAGTCTCTTTTTTGTCGGAGGAACTAATTCAAATTCAGTTTCGAGTAGAGACGAAAATTTGCGGTTGGAAGCTTTTCTTGATGACTTTGGAACTGGGCCGTTGCCGTTATGCAGCATTTTGGATGTGTCACATTGGCGCTAAACTCAGCACACATAAACTTTTGTTCTTTGGCTTTTTTGTAAAGTAAATTTATTAGATCACTGCACGGCGGACTTAACATGAGCAATAGTGGAATTAAACCGCGCGCAGGCAGTAAAATCGAAGAACAGATTTCGGTACAGATTATGCAAATTTTTATAAGAATTTCACTCTGGATTACGCCAATTTCGAATAAGGTTATGCAAGAATTTTAGCTAAAATTTTGTAGATTTTAACGCAAGGATTATACAAATTTCGGCACAAGTCTGTTATAAAATGGCAGAAACTGAGGGCTTTGGTTGTCACTTTGACATTTTGTTTAATCGCCAAACGGTCAATATAACGTACTGTTCCTTCTATTTTTAAAAACTACTCCAGGCTACCGTCTCTCTTCCAGACTAAGTTCTTTTGTGGGCTTTTACAGTCTAGCAGTGGTAGTGACCAATTCTGCTATTTTGCAAGCCATACCACAGAGAGATTTTTGGGACATGGACAACTCAACGTTGGAAAAGATAAGTCGCTCAAATCGGCTTCTGATAATATATCACAAAACGATTACACCGTGATACTTTGACTTTTAAATTTTGGCGTCCTGCATAATCCGAGCCACTTCTAATTGCTTTTACTTTCCATAGAAAGTGAATACGGATAGGGTTTTGACTTTGGCTTGATTCATACTAAGCAGGGTGCAAAACTTGGGTGATTTTCAGAAATCCCGGCAATGTTCTGCTTTTTGTTTTTTTGTTAAAAATTCTCTCAGACGGCGAATGTGTCCCAGAAAATTTCCTGTTTTACAAAAAAGTAAAAATTCCAAAAAATTTAAAAAAATTGGGAAAAAAGATTCCAAAGAAATTTTAAAAAAGCTTAAATAAAAACGCTGACAAAGCATGAATTTTTGTTTCAAAAAAATAGACAAAATAAAGACACTATAACTAAGGAACAAATTTATTGAGAATATGTCCAATGAAAATAATGAATTGCTGCTTTGAAGGATGAAACAATGCACCAAAAAAGCAAAATCCGAGCATCAACGAGCGGTACCACTAAGCAGCTACTTATGCCAGGCACTCAACTTAGCAAGCATTTCGATGTTATGCATCTAATCAGTGTTGGAGGCTTTGGACAGGTTGGTCTTCAGCTGCACAAGTTTAACTTATACAGCTTATCAAAGTTACTTTCAATTTTTTAACTGCGCTCGGCATGTAGGAGCATCTTAGTAATAACACTGACATGAGATGCAAAAACACTGATTGTTCTGCATTTTAGCAATGAGTTCCAACTGCAAATTTAATTTTTTAAAATTTTTTGCGCCTCATTTTACTTCTTCACCATTGCTGACAGTTTTGCTTCCACTTCAGAAATCAATAGCTCCCTAAACTGAACTGAAAAGCAAAAAAATTCGCAAGACTGACACAATACATGAGAATTTTTGAAACTTACTCATGACGTTCTAGGTGTACTTGGGAACGAACATAAAAACCAGGGAGCCAGTTGCCATTAAGGCTGAATCGAATGATGCAAAAGTATATTTATCAAAACGTTTTTTTTTCGCCTCTCGTATCAGCAGCATAAGAATAGATTGATAATTTCTCAAAATCAAAAGTTGTCGAGAAGTATCTAAATTCTAAAGGTTACATCTTCAAAAGATAAGTGAAACCAAACAGATGTTCAAAGCCTAGGAACAGATAAGGAGGTGCAAATTCGCGTGCACAATGACGTTCACACACACATACACAACACGCACAAACAAATAAATCATTGGCGACGCGCACTGGGCGGACTCGTGCGATCGTGCGTTTTTGCAGTGTTTCGTGCTGCAATAAGATCGCTCGAAATTCCGCTAGCTGGAAACCTCTTGTACATACTGGTCCTCGAACCTCGGGAAGTTAATTACCCAGGCTGTACTTGGACAGCGATCATTTCCTTGAAATTCCAAGTTCCCAGCTTTCTCAGCTCCCGAGTTACTCAAATTCCAGCCAGAAAATTCCACGGGTCCGTACGTGGCAATCACGCATAAAGGAGGGCTGAATTTGATAAATTTAAGTTGTAGATGGGCTGGGAATATTTCCTGAAAGTTTCAGCCGAAGTTATCCGAAGTTATCCATTTTCCCGCCGAAAACTTTCACGGGGCCGTACGTGATAATCACGCATAACGGGAGGCTGAACTTGATAAATTTAAGTTGTAAATGAACTGGGAACATTCGCTGAAAGTTCCTACCCCCCAGGAAACGCGCACACCTAGTGGCTGAATTTAAAGTCTGTGAGTTCTATGTGGGCGGGAAACATAAACCAAAAACTTCAGCTTTCTAACTTTCCTGGTTCCGGAGTTAGCGATTTTCCTGCCAAAACTTTGAGACGCTTGTACGGGGGGCCTAGACGTGCTTGAGAACTGGTACCGACACTTGGCCGGGGGACCCACTCGCAAACTTTTGGGGCCGGAAATTGCTTGCTTGCCGAGTTAAAATACCTGGACAGACGCACATACACACACACATCGGGACCATCACAATATGTGTTTTTGCATATAAGCAAAAACACATAACAAACAAGCACACAGTATACTTCCCGACTAAAAGTACATTCTGGTGTGACGGCTCCTGATATCCGCAAGCTTTCGTGGATTCTCGTGGCAGCCCTTCTTTAACACACACCGAAATCGGGGATTTAGGAACTGTGTCTGTGATGACTGTCTTGATGGCAGTTGCCAGATATCGCGCGATACTGAATCATGCTTTCAAAAAAGTAAAATGCCACTTGGGGGCTAGCAGCACAAGGAACGACAGACTTTGTATCACAGCTCGATCATCCCAGCAAAGTCATTAACACGAAACACCCACACCGACTGCCCGGGCGTTCTGATGTCTTAGTATTTCTACTTTGAATTGTCTTTAAATTGTCACTTTAAATTGCCTAGCTGATTTTGTTGCAAACAGCACACCGCATTTTCTTCAGGTTCTTCAATTATTCTCAATGAAACAGGATGTGTCCATGCTTGATCCTTGATGCCCTAACATTTGGGACTCCATCAGGACGATCTTGATGAAAATGGTGAAAAAGCAGTTGTACTTTTGCAGGTCCCGTTGTTACGCTCTGAAGCATTTTGCCTTGAGGAGATCAACTGTGCCGTAAGACAAAGTTACGCGAAAATTGCTCACGTCCCAGTACCCAATTATTACGGATATGGTGAAACTGGAAGCGTTCGCTACATGGTTCATTTTATACCTACAATTCTAACTTCAAACCTAAATTTTTTTCATTGCGATGGAAAATTGACACTGACGCTTGCCAGACAGTCAAACCTGCTATCAGCTTGCTACTAAGCAAGCCCTCGATGGAGGAAGCCGTGCTTAGCCTTACCAATGGATAATCGCTGTCGATGCATGCTATTACTAGAGCTATTTCCGAGTGCTTTAATCCCTCTCAGGAAGAGTGAATACGAAGAGTGTTTCGACTTTTTGGAATTATTGTGCTTGTTTTTTATATCGAAAATTGCGTTTTTTTAAGGTGATGGATTTATGTGGTAAGAATATTCGAGAACTGAAAAAAAGCAGGAAGGAAGATCGCTTCTCGATATCCACATCGTTGTGGCTTATGAAAAACATGATTTTAGCGCTTAAATTTTTGCATAATTTGGGATGGATCCATCGGTAGTTCTTTTTTTTTTTTATTTTTATCTAAAACACTAAATGCTACTTTGTCAGAATGAGCATGCCTCAGTCCCTTCATATTAGAAAGCAATTTTGTTAAATATCGCAATGTCTGAAGAGGTGTGCCAAGTGGCTTTGGTTCTGGATATCGCCTGCAATTTCAATAAAGCCAATTAACCAAAATTTTTGTGTATGGTTTCCCATCGGTACATCATCGAACAACTGCAGTCCACTAAACTATTTCTCCAGCAATGCATCTGACTTCTCCTGTTGCTTTGATCACTCTTATATCTTGGTGGTCAGTCTGTTGGCGACTTTGACGCTCGTTTCGTTTGCTACGGGGAATGCCATCTCAACATTTCTCCCGATGCAGATGTTTTGGCAAGGATGTTTTGAGATATCTATGATGTGTTTTGAGCATCACTACTTCGACTCGAATGTTGCGGTTTCTTGAACCATCTTTCAGAAATGTCCCGCTTTCAGCAAAACGAGCTTTTAACGATCAAAGCTTGTTTTGCTGAAAGTGGAAGATTTCTAAAAGATTTCAAATCTGATTACTAATAAAATGAGTGTCCATCAAAAGAGGTCAAATTTACAACAAGTTTCTAATGAAGAAGTGACGGGGCGCAAGCGTTTTTCTTTTTTCTCCCTATGATTCAGTTGAATCAATATTACAGTGATGTGAAACCGGGCAATTTTTGTATTGGATTACAAATGCAAGGTCTACAGAGGCTTTATTTGGTGGATTTTGGGATGGCTCGACACTTTGTATCTCCGAGTGGCATGCTGAAAAGTAGGCGTCAGTGCAGTTCATTTCACGGCACCGTTCGCTACGCATCCCTCACAACCCATCGGCATGAGGTGAGCCATCCTACCACACTGATATTATTCGCTCCAGATTAATTTAAGAAGTCAAAAACAAAGAAAACGAGTTGAAAGTGCAACATATAAAATAATTGACCAACGCACGGGCTGTTCGTACGATGGTGCGTTTCTTGCACAGTTCCCCGCAGCTTTTGTCGCTACCGGCATCGGTTTTTTCGGCAGATCCTTTTAGCTAA